CCCCGATATATAATACTCTAATCCATGTTCAACTCATAGTTTTCCACTAGAGTTCCACTCGAGGGCCTTACATGCGACGTCATTCAATGGTCTTCTCATTGTGTCTCCAATTTATCTTCATTTGATTCTGAATATTTGTTGAACAATACATTCCCTCAGTTTCTTGTTGCAAATTCTTTCTCGTTAACCATCTAATCTTCAATATGTAGCCGGGAAGGCGACAGTTGATAAACGTATTCAGCTTGTTGAAAATGCTTTTTGTGACACAACCACCAATTTTCTAACCCATTCAGAAGAAGTGACTGACATTGGTGTTGAAAATCCGAATTTCACTCTTTATGCTGAATGGAGAGGGTTGCCAAACCTGTTTTTCTTCTCGAATTCTGGTTTTGACATCTTGTCTCCAGTAGAAATGATGCTTCCTAGATACGTGAAAGAAGCGACCCTTTTCGAATTTCTTCCTTTGTTGGTGACTGGTGCTTGTTGTTGTTGTTCTTGGTTGGTTGTATTCATCAATCGGGTTTATATATATATATATGTATGCATTCCATCTGAAGTCAAATAATATGTCCAAATTTTTTCATACCTATGAGTTTTCAGTGGTATATGTGATTACAAGCAATGAGCTTTATATTCTCAGCAACAGTGATGTTGTATTTTTAAGGGGTGGAGCTGCTAGTCTCAAGCCCGACATTCGCTTTCTTCCACGCCTACTATTGACTGATAAACTGGGTGAGGTTTGGGAGTTCATCGGCCAGGAATAGAAGATGGATGTCCTGTTTGACTGGCGAGTATTCTACTAATGAGCCACTAACTCATTATCTAGCTGACGTGAACATCTTAAATATTTGATGAATATTTAGAAATGAAGTGTGGAATACATGGCTGGTTGTCAATTACAACTGAGTTATTTGCATCTTTATTACATGTATATACTCGAAACTATCTGTGTCCTTGATAGTTCTGTCAAAAATGTACTGGTAACTCGTGCTTCCTAGTGCACGTGGATCTAATTTATGCTGGAAGGACTCATCTCAGTAGTGAGTGTTTTATTCAGAAATAGATGCTCAGATTTCAGTCATGTGCATGAGCACGAGAAGCATTAGCAATGACTTATCGATTATTCCGTGGTGATTAATATTTACGATCTCTGGAGTGACAACTAGTCGCTCCAGTCCTGCTGAGGTCCAAGATTTCATACATCTTGGTTAGATGAAGCCATTTTCACATAATCATTAGTCGGAAGGAGTATGATGTAGTCATTTTTATCCAGATTTCTCTGTGAATTACCAACATAACGTTAAGTAAAACGTGTTCTTCTCATTCAATATTCTTAAGGTTTGAAAAAATGGATGCATTCACAAAAGTTTAGGGCTATTAAACTAAAATTGCTTTCGCATGTGAACTGATAATTTCATTAAATACATGAAATGAACAGATGTTATTTAGACCCAGTTAGTTGGTAGAAAACCTTCATTTAGCTGGTTTTGAGTCAAACATTGCGTTATACTACCCAGCTGCTCCGGTGGAAGCAGGTAGAACGAGACGGTAACCAATGACCTATATCTCCACTGTACAGTGTGAAGGTAAAATGCTTGGAAAGAGTTAGTTCTCCTCAATTCAGATTCATCATAAATGCATGCATAGAAGGCCTAGAGCAGGCAATAGTTTCTTAAAGAAATATTTCCTGTCCTACTTGAAATGATTCTTCCACAAAACTATTTTAGACGAACAATCTTTGATTGAACCGAAGTGATCGGTTTCAGGCTGACATATCTGTTAGCTCCTTGTGCAGATGCTTCGATGATGTCTGTGCATGTAATTAGAAGTTAATTGGTGGATGGTGACTAGCAGTGGAATCCAGGATGAAGCACATTTCGTCTCATTTGGGACTCGTCAACTGGATGTACCTGCATTCCTCGGTGGGAACATCATCACTCACTGTGGAATGCAGGTACATCTAGTTGACAAGTCTCAATCAGGATGAAATGTGCTCCTTGTATTCCACTGCTAGTCACCATCCACCAGTTAACGAACAATCTTTAAATTCACTTCGCAGATGTTTTCTGGAGAGTATATCACAAAACATTACTCCTCCTCGTAGGACAATTCTACCAGAACAAGTTGATTTAATTAATAAGAAGGGGGTAAAAAGTTAAGATAATTGGATGGATTCAAATCGTGAAGTAGTCCAGCTGAATGGATAGTCTTAATTAAGTCGGTTCTGAAGCCTGACCTGTTCAAGAGAGGAGGTAATAATGGTCATCTAGAGACGAATAATATTTATCAGAAATATACACTAAAATAAAGGTTTCTAGATCTTAAAATAACCCAGCTTAGATAAAGTACACACCATGTACTTAGCAAAGTACAAAACAAAATTTCATGGGAAAATTTAAAGATATTAGAAATTGTTTTAAATACAAGAACTGAATATTTTTCTTTGTTATAAAGTGACAAAAACAGTTCACATGAATTAGCCCATAAAATTTCAGTAAATCTTAGTAGAAACACTAAAGTAAAAGCAGTATGAATTAATACCAAAATGAGATCCAAATAACAGGTGGCTTATTGTCATAATTCAAGTTCGATGTCTTCGTACTGATGTGAGTTTCTGTCTATCGTTTATCTCAGTGATAAGAACTACGAAGACTGGTATTATTATTATATTATTATTGTATCCTTTAATTCCTACAGGAACATAGGGCTGTAGCCGTGCGTCTCCATTGAGTTCGGTTCTCTGCTAGAGTCTTCACCTGGCTCCAAGTCTGCCCACACGTTTTAATCTCCTATTCACATGACCTCCTCCAAGTCACCCTTGCACTGACGACTAACTCGCCGCTTCCCTTTCGGGTTCCACTCGAGCAATGGCTTATCTAGTGATGTCACTTGATGGTTTCCTAAGAGTATGGCCAATCCATCTCCATTTCTTCCTGCTTATTTGTTTCACAATCGGTTCCTGGTTGGTTCGCTCCCAAAGATCCCTGTTGCTGATCTTTTCTGGCCATCTGATCTGATGAATATAGTAAACTAGTCATTAGAATAATTTCAAAAGAATACCATAGTTGCTATCTTCGCCATTCTTCTTGTGTTCATTTTTAAGCAAGAGACTTAATAGGTTACAGGTTTTGTCACGAACTGACGTCATTTAGAGAACCATGGAGTACTGGGCAGCTCCTAGTTCGGGATTCCTCATCAGCACGCACTCACCAACAGAGTTCGAACTTAGGGCCTTCCGTTTACATGGCGAGCCGGTAGACCATTTAGCCGATAGCCCATGAATCCTAACTTCCGCCAACTCATGATATATTTATAGCGCAACAACCAAAAACAAGAACATTGTGTCCCACCAGGTTTATTGATTTTTAATTTTTGAATATCCGGAGTACATCTTCAAGTAGAATATGTGTCTTTAAGTGGATAATTACGAGTCTCACTGATTTAGTAAATGGTATATACATTAACCGAAACCTGTTGAAGAAATACGATGGATTAAGCAAATTACAGGTGATTTCAATTCATATATGAGTACTGCAATCATTGTGTTAAATGATGTAATTCTCTGTCATTAGATAAGTTGACGATATTAGCTACTCCAGTGACAACAGCTTAAATGAATCATTATTATTATTATTGTTCCCTTGGGTTCCAAGTGGAACACATGGCTTCATCACCACATCTCCACTTTGTCCTATTCTATGCGGTCTTCTTTATCTAGTCCCAAGATTGCCCAGAGTCTCTCCTCTCCTTCTCCTCATACTACCTTCTCCATGTCACCCTCGGATCCATATGCAACTCGTCGTTTACCATTTGGGTTCCATTCGTGGTAATATCAGTCGTACGATTTCATTCGACGGTCTTCCCAGTAGGTCTCCCGTCCATCTTCATTTTCTTCGGCACATGTGTTAAGCAATACGAATTGACAAGTTCGTTCCCAGAGTTTCTTGCTGCTAATTATTTCTGGCTAGCCATCTGATCTTCAGTATGATGCCAGCAAAGGCAGCTGCTGACAAAGAATCCAGTAGCCTGCTGGAAATACTTTCTGTGAAGTGCCAGCTTTCTGACCTATATAGAAGGACTGATTAACTTAACACTAGTGTTAAAAATCCAAATTCACTTCTTGACGCTTCGTGCGAAAGATTTGCAGATTGATTTCAGAGTGATGAATGCCTGCCTTGCCTTTTCGATACCTGCCTTGACATCCTAAAATACGGTATGAATCATGTGAAATATTTCTGTGGAATAACCTTATTACACAATGACTTTGTTGAAAAGTAACCAATATCCCACTGTTTCCGCGGGGTGGCTGATGTGTAGGTCATCATGTTTTTATCCTTTTCAAAAAGGCTTCATTAAAAAGCATATCGATTTTATCAGTGAACGTTTTGGTATTCGCTTCTGAATCACCTTCGCAATCCACTGATTGTTTTTAGCTGTACTCATTTTCTATACATCCATCAAAACTAATCGGTGTTTCCTGAATAATATTCCCTTACTTAGAGTTTCATGTGCTGGGCGGGAAAGTTTTTCCATGTTTCAGTCCATGAGGTCTTCAGATAATACCCAGCTGCGTAGACTCAAGCAGATGGGACTCACTAGCTGAGAGCCAAGTGGGTTTTTTTATTTTTTTATTTCTTCACGTTACCAGTGGAACATAGGGCTTCAAGCTAAAGGCTTGAAGTTTCTGTAGCAGTGGTGTTTATTTTTACAGGATGGGGTTGCTGGCCTCATACTCAACCTTTCCTCTTTACCAGCGTTATTTCTGGCTTAGTGAAGTAAAGCAGTGCGTCGTCGGCCGGGGATCAAACCCCGGACCATGGTCGGCGAGCGTCCTAAACGCTGTGCCACCGACGCACCTGGTGGTGCGTCACCAGGCCAAGTGGTTTAGCCGATAAATTGTTTCTCCATAGTTTAATGTACATATATAATATTTGTATGTTATCTTACCTAATATCATGATGTTTATAGCTCTTATGTCTATTGTTTTTAAATTTCTATAGTGTTCGTAAACTGCTAAGAGTTGCAATTATGGAGAATGATTTTATGAATCATATTGCGTCGACTCAATTAACTGAACTAATTGATTGTATGTACAGTATCGACTTCACAGCTGATGAAATGATTATCAATGAAGGGGATTTTGGTTCATTGGTGTATGTTTTAGCAGGTAGGTTGAATTTGTTTGTTTGTTGTTGTCGTTGTTTTGTTTTCTTCATTGTTTTGCTTAACTATCATGAATAATAAAAAGACAATTGCAGCGAAGACGAAATCACACATCCTATCATGAATAATTTGTAAATATTTACTTATACCATGCTGATGTGTTTACGAAAACTACAGGAATATGCTGTTTAGGTTGTTAAAACAATGAAATAAGAACAAACAGTTCGGTGGCGAGTCCCTCTTCGGCGAACTCACTCACTTATCTGTACAATAGCGTTCATATATAACTATTTCTGTGTGTGTGCGTGCATTAGGTTTGTCAGACAAAATAAAAATAAGTAAGAAATGTTGTTTCCGTTATCAAATGTTTCAAAAATGTGATGAATAGTCAAATTGTAACTAGGGGATTGCAGATTAATAAGTACTAACAGAGGTTGAGTAATGTGAAAGACACCTAGAAAAATAGGATAAAAACAGTAAACGGAAGGTTAGTTTTAAAAAAGGTGGTGTTACTAAACTTTTGCACGAAAAATGCACAAGATGGTATTGATAACAAAATAGTTTAATTTGGAATTATACCCAAGATAGAAGGAGGTGATGGAGAAGTTTCTTCTGAGTACATAAATCAGGGTTCAACATCCGAATCCTGAAGGCCGCGTCAATGCCTAGTATACGGAAGGCTTACTGTTTTCGGGAGGCTTCTTCAGACTATATAGATGAATTTGAATGAATTCTCCTTGCTTATTGAGTGACCAGTATTGAATATATGTCCTATTATAGCACTCCTTATTGGCCCACAGTTACCTTTTCGTAGCCAAGCAGGTTAAAGTTCTTTGACTCTTTCAGATAAGACACTCATTGAACGACTAATATATCTCGCTCCACATGAGCAAGTGAATTGGTAGATACACATAGAAGTGGTCAAATGGGATAGTTTGTCTTTGGAGTTGTTGAAGAACAAGGGGTGGCTTGAGAATACCAATCGTAATGTGTCAGCAAAGAATATTCTTTTCAGGGCGTTAGATATTCTCTTCTTCAAGTTGTTATCCAGAAGGTCGCCTTTGAACACCACGTTCAGCGAAGCAACTTCTTCGGCGCACAACTATGGTGTTGTTTTTTTGGTTATTACAACAATAAACATCCTTATTTTCAGATAAGTGGTCAAAGATAGTTAAGTCATTCAGGTTCGATTTCCAGCTGGCACACTTCTAAAAAACCCTAGCTGATAGCAAACCCAGAAAAGGTGTGAGGTTGAGTGTGAGGCTACAAACCCCACCCCATAAAAACAGCATCACCGCAACTGGAAATTCAGAGCTTTAAGTTATATGTTCCACCCAGAAAGCAAAGGAATGTATAATAATAATAATAGAGTTCAATGAGATTTCTTCCACCACATTCATGCTTTTATGACATTTTTATGCAAAATCTTTGACATAGAACCTCTAGTTGGTAAATTGGAAAAATAAACTGGATAATTGGATAGCTTTTGAAGTTGAAGCGATTAGCTAAATGGTACTATGTTTAAAACCATTGGTCTCATGTATTGGTTTTATGATTGAATGGCGCCGGCTTGAATTTTCGTTAGGATCTTCAATATGTACAGACGAAGAGTCTCAAAGTAGGCTCCATTGAGAGCGTACTAGACATCTATCTATCTGTCTAAATATTGACCTCAACTAAAATGAAAAGGACAACTAAGCACATGTGTTGTTATAAATAAACAATGATTTATATGGCGAAGATGATTGTCAGGGTAAGTTTTCATCTCATCCTAGTTATCTTAGTAAATTAAAGAAGGGAAGACCATTTCATTGACAGCTTGTGTTGCTTATCTTATTATGACCCACCAAATTTATCTTCTTCATTAACACCTTGAAAACTAGATATTTATGAATCTTTATTATATGTGCTCATGAGCCCATATTTCTATAATAATTTCCAAGACCCAAAATCATTGTACCCCCACTCACCGTTCAGCGTAGATGATATAACGAATGCTGAGAATTGCAGTTTGACCACGAACTAATATAAATTGGAGAACTGCTTCAAAACCAGAGAGTAATGAATAGTTGTTTCGTCCTACTTTAGAAACACTGAGCAATATGAACCCGGGATCTTCAGGTGATGAGGCCAGCCTGGCTAGTTGGGTGTGAGAACAGGTACTCAACGATGTTATTGGCAGGAGGTTGACTGAAGTCTGAATCCGAAGGTGGGACACTAGATTCCCTCCTAGTAGGTTAAAGGTCAACGAGTTCACCTTATAACCCATGAGTTCAATCCCTGCTACGTGCATGGGCACCCACTGCTGAAGAGTCGCAAACCTGAAGGACGAAACAACTATTCAGTTCCGCCTGGCTTTCACTGGCTCTCTAGCTTATGTCATTTCGTGATTACTCTTGAAATCCGTCAAATCTCTGCAAATAAACATTTCAGAATGTTTATAAGTTTCTCAGTTAGTAGTTAACAATCTAGCGAAACCTGGCTGGTATTGTGTTACTCTACAGATAGCAGTACATAGACCGAAAAAATACATGCCGGATTCTCGTTCATAAGAAAAACGTAGAGAGAAGTATAGTTTCTATTTCTTTTTTTATAAATCAAAGCGCCTAGACAACAAACGGGGTCAAAATAAGCAGATCAATCATCTTAACGCAACCATTATAAACAACATGACCTTATGTTTAGCCAAGAACAGACAGGCAGAGACAGATTAGCATCTCACGAGGTTATTTTTAACAAACAAAAGCGGAACAACTAAGTTCATGACTTACTTTCTTTCCGCTTATAAATTCACATGTCTACACTTAATTTAGCACAGCTTATCAGATCATGTAACAAGGTTATCAGGTTACATTTCTTGAACTGGTTAGAAGAACACACTTATCATAATTAGCGTTATTATTCTAAACATTGTACATTAACTTAACGTCCTTACGATGAGTTATATTTACACATTGAAAGGTTTAAAAAAATGAAGTTTAAGATGGTTATTATCGACTAAATGGTATAAACTTGAAACTTTGTCATAGAAATTATTGTTTATTTACTTATGAAGTAGACAGATCTATTTCACTAGTGTGTTTCACATTCACAAGATCATCTAATTATTTATGGATAGTACTTGTTTCAAAATCTGTAAAATAAGGTGTTATCTTCTTTCCAAGATTTCTAAAATCTCACATGTGGATGACACATTTACTTCGCTGAAATTTAAGCACTAACCTGATTTACAATTAGTAGTGTTCTCTGAGCTGGTTGGTTTAGTTGCGAAGCCTTCACCGTCCTTCTGGACAACATCTTCAGCGTAATTTTTAGCATAAAGTAAACTGATTTAAATTTTTTATGACTGATAGAGTTGTGTCTTCCAGAAACCCCCGCAACTAAACTAACCAGCTCAGAGAACACTACTAATTGCAAATCATCCACCTGAACTTTAAAGCTTCTCTATCATTAACCTGATTTGATGATGGTAGATGGTTGGAGGCAATTGACAAGAAGCCTTGAACCTAGGTTTCGTGCTAGTTGGCATTCATCACCAGTCAGCAAGGAGTATCTGCAACGTTGAAGGAACTTATGTCCTTTCTGAGATTCGAACCTGCGTCACCCAATACCGCCTGCAGTCACAGACTTTACCAATGATCTATCCGGGTTAGCGACTGACCTCCTGTAGGACTGTATTGGATGTTTTTGACTGGACACTAGTTAAATTATGTCGTGTGTTCAGTGTTTTGTTTAGTGTAGACTGAATTCTACCAGACAGGTTTGCAATGTGGTTACAATTCTAGGTGGTTTGCTATCATGGCGTATTTTGAGCTGTTGACATTAGATAGTTGGAGGCAATCTGCAGAAAGCTTTGGACCTGATTTCTTTTCACATATAAACTCAGCAAGATACTAGTATCTATAAGTAAGTATAACATTCTCATAGGTATTTGAGTTTTGATTTATCCCATGCAGAATCTGCAAAGATACGTTTAGTTAAATGTCTACCTATATAATCGGGCCGGGAGGCCAACCAATGGGGCAAAGTAATGTAAATAGCGAAAAAATAATAAAGAATTCAAAGCATCTGTAGTATTGTCATGTAAAAAGGGACATCAGGAGTCCCACATATGATTTTTCATTAGGCTCGAATGATTACTATATATTTATTATTGTTCCCTTGGGTTCCTAGTGGAACATAGGGCTTCAACTACACGTCTCCACTTGCTTCTGTCTTCTGCTGTACTTGTCACCTGCATCCATGTTAGTCCATACTGTTTCAACTCTTCTTCAAACGGTCTCCTCCACATCACCCTTGAACATCCCACTCGCCGCTTCCCTTTCGGGTTCCACTCGAGCACTGGCCTGACGCGCGATGTCACCCAGCGGCCTCCTCAGCGAGTGTCCAATCCATCTCCACTTTCTCCTGCATATTTGTTGGGCGGTTGATTCTTGTTTTGTTTGTTCCCATAGTTTCTTGTTGGTTCTTGTTCTTTCCGGCCATCTGATCTTCAGTATAGAGCGAAGACAGCTGTTGATAAAGGTCTGCAACCTGTTGAAAATATTCTTTGTGACCCGCCGCCAAGTTTCTGATCCATCCGTATAGAAGAACTGACTGACTTGATGTTTGTATTGAAAATCCGAATCAGTTTGTTGTTGATGCAGGCTGAGTGACGAAGATTTCCAGATTGGTTTCAGGTTGATCAATGTGTTTTTCGCCTTCCCGATTCTCGATTTGACATTCTCGTCCGTTCCTGCTGTAGTTGAGACAATGCTCCCTAGATAAGTGAAAGAAGTAACCTCTTTCAAATCCCTCCCGTTGATGGTGATTAGCGCTGGATGTTGCTGCTGTTGTTGTTGTTGGTTGATTATTTTCATAACCTCCATCTTGTCTATGTTCACCTGGAGTCCTGTCTTTGCTGCTTCTTCGACCAGTGTGTCGTTTTTCACTTGTAAATCTTCGATTTTGTGTGACATCAAACATAAATCATCCAGGCGCGAAATCCAGGTCTTCTAGGTTGTT